CTTTGGCTCTTTAGCTCCTCTTCACCTGTTGTTGGCCTTTGGGGTCCCACATCCTCTGTTAACAGCTGTGAGAGCCTGTCCTTAGGCAGTTTTGGGAGGGGGGTTTATCCCGTCCAGTGGGCAGCAGCTGCTCTAAAAGGGGGATGCTGGGCCTGGTGGAATGGGCTGGGCAGCGTTGGCCTTTGGGGTCCCACATCCTCTGTTACCAGCTGTGAGAGTCTGTCCTTAGGCAGTTTTGGGAGGGGGGTTCATCCCGTCCAGTGGGCAGCAGCTGCTCTAGAAGAGGGGGATGCTGGGCCTGGTGGAATGGGCTGGGCAGCAAGGCTGGTTGGGCTTGAGGAGGCCCAAGGGCCCTGCATGACTTCTGGCTCTGCTTCCAGGAGCGCATTAACTGTCTGGAAGGGGCCCACGAGTTTTTTGAGGCCATTGGCTTCCAGAAGACATTGTTACCAGTTCCGGATCAGGGTAAGCTGGGTAGAGAAGGGCCTTGGCTAAGTTGAGAGGTGGGGGTCCAGCGCGGGGTCTTCCTGCTGTGGCACAGTGACATCACAATGACATCCCTGCATATCCCAGAGGGCCCCGAAGAGTTCTACGTGCTAAGCGAGGCCGCCTTGGCCAAACCCGAGAACCTGGAAATACACAAGGAGCAGCTGCTGTGCGGCGAGCCTGTGCGGGCCACACTGATCCGCCAACGCCGTGTCTTCCGGCCCTCACCCATGGCCTCCCAGTTTGACCTGCCCCCTGACTTCTTCAACCTCACGACTGAGGAGGCCAAACGGGAGCAGAAGCTCAGGTCTGAGGCGGTGGAGCGGCTGAGCATGCTGCGGACCAAGGCCATGCGGGAGAAGGAGGAGCAGAGGGAGATGCGCAAGTACACTTACACACTGCTGCGTGTCCGTCTCCCTGATGGCTGCCTCCTCCAGGGTGTGTGCTTCCCCTGGGCAGGGTGAGGCCTGGGAGGTGGTGTCTGCTTGAGGGGGCTGAGTTGGGTGTGGTACAGCTGCAGCTGTGGGTTGCTGTGCCTCCAGCAGGAGTGGAAGGCCTTTCTGGTCTGAGCTGCTCTGGGCACAGCTTGTCTGGGCTGGGGGTTCCCAGGATCTCCAGCCCCACGCTGACTGTTCCACCCCTCAGGGACCTTCTATGCCCGGGAGCGGGTGGCGGCACTGTATAGCTTTGTCCGGGAGGCCCTGCAGAACGACTGGCTGCCCTTTGAGCTGCTGGCCTCGTGTGGGCAGAAGTTGTCGGAGGATGAGAACTTGGCCTTCAATGAGTGTGGGCTGGTGAGTGACGAGCTCCCGCATGCTGGATCTCCAGGTTCTTGTTGAATCTGCACAGGTTCCCCATGAGGGCGGCCCTCTTCAGTATGGGGTGGTGCTAGGAGCAGGGGTCCCAGAACCAGGCTCCCTCAGTCCTACCTTCCCCTTTACTAGCAGTGTAACCCTGAGTAACTTCTCTGTGCCTCAGTTTCCCACCTTTAAACTGGAAAGGAAGGTCGCAAGTGTGTTATTTCGAGTCCTCTGAGGAGCAGGACCCAGATGGGATTGAAAATGTGGGGATTTCCTGACGGCTGCCCAGCACTGAGATAGTCTTAGCCAAATCTGAGGTGTCCCTGCGCCCGGGTCCTCTGTAGGAGGAGCCACTGGTTCAGGAATGGACCGACTGTGTGAAGGCCGTCCTGGTGTCGCCAGCGGGGCGTAGTCCTGGGAGTGTGTGGCCCTGATTCCAACACGAAGATTTGAAGGTGAAGAGATGAGCTTTGTCATGTAAAGGCCAGAACAAAGCTGAAATTTCTCTCCCCACCACAGGTGCCCTCAGCCCTCCTGACCTTCTCGTGGGACATGGCAGTGCTAGAGGACATTAAGGCCGCGGGGGCTAAGCCAGACTCATCTATCCTGAAGCCCGAGCTCCTGTTGGCCATCGAGAAGCTCTCGTGAAATAAAAGCAGGGTTGGCTTCAGCCCCCATGGGTCTGTCTCCTGCTTCCTCCACCTCTGCTTACGTCCTCATTCTCCCTCCACTTCAAGGCCTCCCAGCCTCCTCTGGGACTGCCCAGCCCATGGGCAAGGGAGAGCGACTGGTTGGCCTGTGACCGCCACTGAGGGCTTTCAAGCAACAGCTGCTGTGCTGTCCTTGGTAGCATTCTCCAGCTGCTATTTAACCTAATTAACGGAACCCCAGGCATGACAGACCTGGGCACCTCCCTGGATAGGAATAGGCCTGCAGCTTGGGTCCAGGCCCCATGGCTGGCCCTGAGGCTGTCCTGTGGAACTGCTGGTGATAGTGGCATAAGATAGAGATGCTGGGCCTGGGCAGAGTTCTGTAACACTAAGTTCTGAATCCAAATAAACAGGCTGTTTGACTAGTCTCCTGGTGGTGAATTCTAGCCATGTGTTGTAGGGCACCCCGTGGATGAGCCCACCTTGCTGAGGGAGGGTGCCCCAGGGATCCTGGGCTGTGGGGCTAGGGCCTCTTAGGCCCTGCAGAACGGTTCCTGTAGAGGTCCACGTCCTCACCCCTGGAACCTGTGAATACCACTTTATGTGACAAAAGGAACTTTGTGTGTGATTAAGGACCCTGAGATGGGAGATTGTCCTGGGTTTTCCAGATGGGCCATTGTCATCACAGGGGTTCTTATATGTTGAAGGAGGAGGTAGAAGAGATGGGAAGATGCTACACTGCAGCTTTCAAAGATGGAATAAGGCCACAAGCCAAGGAATGCAGTGGCCTCTAGAAGCTGGAAAAGGCACAGAAATGGATTCTCCCCTGGAACTTCCAGAAGGAACCAGCCCTGTTCACATCTGTATTTTAAAGTAGTGAGACCCATGTCTGATGATACCCAGAACTGTAAGAACAAGTTGTTGTTTTTTAAGCCACCATTTGTAGTGATGTCTTACAGCGTGGTCGGCAAACTCATTAGTCAACAGAGCCAAATATCAACAGTACAACGATTGAAATTTCTTTTGAGAGCCAAATTTTTAAAACTGAAACTATATAGGTAGGTACATTGTTATTAACTTAATTAGGGTACTCCTAAGGCTTAGGAAGAGCCACACTCAAGGGGCCAAAGAGCCGCATGTGGCTCGCGGATGAGTTTGCCGACCATGGGGTTACAGCTACAGGGAACTAAAATGGAAACCAAGGCCAGGAGTGTCAAAGGTACTCCTGGTCATAGCCAGGCTGGGAGATGCCCCCTCACTCACTCACCTGGATCGTCCCCTCCCCTCTCAGCCCCAGGTGGGCTGCTGGCTCCGGTTTCTGTTATATTCTCCCCTGCATGGAGACCTGGTGGCTGGTCCTCTGGCTTTATAGTCTCTCTCCCCTGCATGGAGACCTGGTGGCTGGTCCTCTGGCCACTGCCAGCTATGTACAGACATGAAGCTTCAAGGACCCCAAATGTGATTTTAAAAGCAATAATCCCTTGTAACCTCAGCAAGCAAGTTGCCCCCATGCATGCCCTTGCCTCACACATAGGCCACCAGCAGATGTTGGACCTACGCCTGTCTCCTTTGCTGCCGTATCTTGGGAACCCAGCATGGTCTCACCCTGTCACTTAGATCCATCCCTTCCCTGTCCCCAACTTCTGCTAGGATTCAACTGTCAGTTGTCGGATACCCAACTAAAACAGGCTTAAGGATACTTTACAGGTAGTTGTGTCCACAGGTTTAACACATGTGCCTCTATCCTGAGCACAAGCCTGTATTCAGCTGCACCCTACCTCCAGTAGGAGGTTCTGGCCAAGGCTCATGTTCTCACCTGCAACTGGGGTGTTTCTCAGCCCCATCCTTATGGGGCTCCTGGAGGAGGATCAGGGTGTTTGTGGGAGCAGAAAACCTGAGGAGTCTTGGCCACCACACAGCCACAGGGTTCAGTTGCCCTGTCTGGTTGTATCCAGCTGATATAAACTGTTCTGCACACTGATATGCCTGCTGGCTCTTCTCCCGTGGGGGCAGTAGGAACAAAATCAACCCTCTACTGTCTAGATATGAGGGGTCGGCAGGAGTCCAGCTTGGATGGAGTATGTGAACTCTGCCAAAATCTCAGCTCACACATGCTCAAATGCCTCTGTGGGACTATCACTGCCCCAATGTGGGGCCGCTCCAGGGCCTCATGGACCAAGGCTCCAGCATCTTTAGTTGGCTCCACTATTTCAATACTCTCCTGTGATGTGGCCTGACCCTGAAGTCCATCTGGAAGCCAGGATTCAGGGCTTAGAAGCCCAAAATATGCCCTGCTCACTTCCCAAGGGGCAGGAAGAGCTGATGGGCACAAGCACCCGCTGAGAAGCTACACCCTGAACTAGGTCATTGCGGAGGCGGAGGACTTTACAACAAAGAGTTGAGACAGTGCTTTTGCAAAGTGGAAAGCTTGATACAGATGCCACAGTACCACGGGTGGGGTAGAAGGAATGGACACTTGCGAGCACAACATAGGGCTCAGGCCACAGGTGAAGGTACACACCCACTCACAGAAACGATATGTTGAAAGATGACAGACACACCAGGTCAGGGCTAGACAATAAGTTTATACATATCCATGTCAGTCCTGGTGCCATACGACACCGGCAGGGCTCCAGTTCATTTATAAGCATTTCATCATAGTGCCTGCTCAGGATCCTTAGGGCACAATTGGGATTCCCCGTACAGGCCAACACACTGCGATAATGCTTTATTAAAGGGCAGATTAGTATGCAGCTTCGAGGGGAAATTTTTACAAATATAAAAAAGAATGAATCAAGCATCCTATATACTTTCCAACCCTTGAGGGGGCGTATGCGAAGCAGGACAAAGTGCTCTTTACACAGGAATCATAGGACTTTCAAGTATCTGAGAAGCATCTGAGAAAACCCTAACCATTCTACATACACACGCCAGCCAGTTTGGGGTGCTCAGGAGGGGCTGAGTGAGTTGGAGGGCATGGGGCTCTCACTGGTGTCCATTCCCACAGGCCTTCCAGCACTGGGAGTGGTTACACAAGGGTCCTGGACCTCTGCAAGGCAAGAGAGGTAGGGGCTTTAGTGTCTGTACCTGTGTCACCAGGGCCTGAAACAACTCTGAGAGCCTTCTTGGGGTAAGATCTCCCGATCCGACCGTGGTTAGAGAAGAAGCATGGCTGTAGCCCCCAGACCCGTCTCCCTTTTCTAGACACGTACTCCCTGTCCCCTCTTCAGCTCACTCAGGGGAAAAGCCAAATCTAGGCCCGAAGCCCCATGGCAAAGGGGAAGAAACTAGGACACGGAAGCCAAGTGGCTCTGCCAAGGATCACCGGACATCAGGCTCCCCGAGCCTCGCATCACTGCTTGCTTCTTTTTCCCTGGAGCAGCTTAGTTCAGAGGTACCTCACTTGTGCCAGGACCCCCACCTCCAGGACTCTTCCTAACACAGCCCATCCATCACCCACCAAGGTGGCAACCAACCTTCAGTTCTTTGGTTTCCTAAATGTAGCTTAGGAAACAAAGTCAGATCCTCCAGGGCCTGGATTGGACCCAACTGCCCACCCACACCATTAAACCAGCCCGCCCAGTGCCTTTCAGAATCTTTTAACTCAACCTTTTAACTTATGTACAAAAGAGAGCCAGTGAAAAGGTAACAGTGCAAGTGCTCTTCCCCCTGCTGCCAGCCTGCATGAGAAGAGGGACTGGGGCTGTTCTCACCAGCAATATCCGAGATGTCCATCATCACACAGTCACCATCCTCTTCCTCCTCCTCCTCCGTGTCTGCCTGGAAGCCATCCAGGTCCCCAGCTCCGACCTGAACAGGCAAGGGAGCACAGGTCATCAGCATGGGCACTTTGGGCAGACCAGTGTGTAACCCTTCCTGCTACACGTGTCTATACTACTGGCCTCCTCTACCATTTTTTAAAAAATATAGCCCTGGCTGGTTTGGCTCGGTGGATAGAGCGTCAGCCTCCGGACTGAAGGGTCCCAGGTTCCGGTCAAGGGCATGTACCTTGGTTGCGGGCACATCCCCAGTAGGAGGTGTGCAGGAGGCAGCTGATCGATGTTTCTCTCTCATCGATGTTTCTAACTATCTCTCTCCCTTCCTCTCTGTAAAAAAATCAATTAAAAAAAAAATATATATACTTTTTGCCTTGGCCGGTTTGGCTCAGTGGATAGAGCTTCGGCCTGCGGACCGAAGGATCCCGGTTTTGATTTCGATCAAGGGCACATGCCTGGGTCGCAGGCTTGGTCCCCACTGGGGGGCGTGCAGGAGACATCTGATCCATGGTTCTCTCTCATCAATGATGTTTCTATCTCTCTTCCTCTCCCTTCCTCTCTGTAATCAATAAAAAATTTTAAAAAAATAAATATATATACTTTTATTGATTTCAGAGAGGAAGGGAGAGGGACAGAAACATCAATGATGAGAATCATTGATCGGCTGCCTCCTGCACGCCCCCTACTGGGAATCGAGCCTGCAACCTGGGCATGTGCCCTTGCCCGGAATCAAACCTGGGACCCTTTAGTATGCAGGCTGGCACTCTATCCACTGAGCCAAACCAGCTAGGGCTCCTCTACCGTTTTAATAACACATGGAGGAGTCCATTTGATAGCTGATGACCAAGCAAACCTTGGCAAGTTCCTTTCAATGAACTAATTCAGAGCTTAGAAAACTACCATTATCATATTTACCTTATCACAAAAATAATTTGTGAACTGTTTTCGAATTAGAACTCTGGGTTTCTGGGTTGGTTGGAAAGAAAAATTGATAAAGCATACAGTTTCTTTGAATTTATTATTTGAAATAAACGATTGAGAGCCCAGTTGGTCAGTGCTTTCTCTGTACCTTCTGCCTGATGCTTGACAACTCAATTTATGCTTAGACCAGTTTGGCCAGCGTGACTATCATCTGGGCAATTGTGGACAGAAGTCAGGAAGGACAGGGGACAGCGGGAAGGCCTCTACTGGGGCTAGACTTTCCAACAAAGATTCCTGGGCCATTTTCATTGGCATTCAGCAGAGGGGACAGAAAGACAAGGTGGAACGTAGCAGGACTGATTTTAAACACCAACCATCCACACAAGGGCTCACTTTCTCTGTAAATGAACAAAGGGAACTAACTAGCAGAGGAGGCAGGAACAGACTTATTTAAACAGAGAGGCTACTTCTGAAAACACTTTGAAATTCCTCTGCTACAAAAATCTCCATTTGCCTGGAAAAAGAATGACAGAGCAGTAAGATTTGCACATTGGGTTCCTGGCCTGGCTGGCAGACTGGGCTCAAGTTTGCAGCATCACAGTTCCTGGTGTGTATGCTCCATGCCCAGACTCTTTGGTGGCTGGAGCGTCACTTAGATAGGAATGGTCCCACAGCAAAAGCAGGAGCTGCCACCTAAGGATGCTGACGGCGATTTCTAACTATTCTAAAGAACTAGCCCTGACCGGTTTGGCTTAGTGGATAGAGCGTCTGCCTGTGGACTGAAGGGTCCCAGGTTTGATTCTGGTCGGGGGCATGTACCTTGGTTGCAGGCACATCCCCAGTGGGGATTGTGCAGGAGGCAGCTGATTGATGTTTCTCTCTCATCAATGTTTCTAACTCTCTATCCCTCTCCCTTCCTCTCAGCAAAAATAAATAAAATATATTAAAAAAAAAAGAGAACTGATTGACCGCCCTAGCTGGTTTGGCTCAGTGGATAGAGCGTCGGCTTGTGGACTGAAGGGCCCGGGTTCAATTCTGGTCAAGGACACATACCTCAGTTGCAGGCTCCTCCCCTGCCTGGGCCCTGGTCAGAGTGAGTGCAGGAGGCAACTAATAGATGGGTTTCTCTCACATCGATATTTCTGTCTTTCCCTCTCTCTTCCATTCTCTCTAAAAATCAATGCAAAAATTTCGTTGGGTGAGAATTAAAAAAAAAGAACTGACTGACCAAGAACAGACAGCTCAGCTCTCAACTATGTGGATTTGGGGATGTTGGTTTGGGTCTGTTAAGCAAAAGGAACAGAGGGATTTCTTCATAGCCTCCCCTGGTCACTGGGCTCAACAGAAGACAGGAAACACAATTATAGTGGAACCACTATCCATAACTCTCCAGACACAGGACAGGCTATAAAATATTCTACAGTGGGAATTTAGGATGACACCTGAATCCACTGTGCTGAGCTGTCAGCAGCTTATTGTAATGGGAAAGCTTGTCACCCCATTGTCACTGCTGCATGTGGTAGATGCAGAGATGGAAAAGGGGGAACATGTAAAATGGGCATGAATTAGATATTTGGCAACTGTCAAGAACTACAGCTGTATAACACCAGTCTTTTAGTTTTGTTTTTTGTTTCATTTTAAATATATTTTTATTGATTTCAGAGAGGAAGGGAGAAGGGAGAGAGATAGAAATATCAATGATGAGAGACAATCATTGATTGGCTGCCTCTTGCACACCCCATACTGGGAATCAAGCCCGCAACCTGGGCATGTGCCCTTGACTGGAATCGAACCGGGGACCCTTCAGGCCCCAGGCCGACACTCTATCCACTGAGCCAAACCAGCTGGGGGTTTAGTTTTGTTTTGATCATAGAATATATATGACTAGAAAGGAGAAACAGAACCTCTCCCCATTTTAAAATAAAACCAAGGCCCACAAATCTGGGTCGCCCTGGTGCCAGAGACATTTGGTGACAGAGCTGAAGTCTCACCTTAGCCTGTTTATCTAACTAGATCATAATAACTTGTAAACTCAGGGCTTATGATGATTTTTGAACTCGAAATAAAGATTTAAATATTCTTAACACTCACACACATTTATAGTTTAGCTACAACTACTTCCAAGGGTGCAGAAATACGCAAGCTTTACCAAAATGTAGGGGGAAGTGTTCTACATGCCCCTCCAATCTTCCCTTCTAGAAAGTTGTACCTGTCTCCCACTTTGTGTCGGTGCTATGTGGTAGCAGGCCTTACCCATGCATCCCCCCGCGCCAAGCAGGGGCGGAGGGTGGTCAGTTCTCATTTCCCAGTCTCTCTTGCAACTCACAGTGGCTGTGCCTAAGCATTTTGTCCAGAAAGACACCAATGGAAGTCTGCTGGGGTGAGCATTCCTTTCCAGCTACTGGGGGGTGGGGGGGGGGGGCAGGAGGAAGGAGGCCCCGGCTACTGGACTAGGATGTTACATGAGCTCAGGACTAGTTGCTGGAGGTAAACCCCCACAAAATAGGAGCTCTGTTACCTGAGGTCGGACATAGTCCTGGTGACTCAGGGCTGTCAAGCAGGGTGTCCAAACTTGAGCATTCCAAGGAGCAGGGGTGAGGCTGAATGTCCACAAATCCACTCCTAGAACATTCCAAAGAACCAGCACCCACCCTAGCTGGTTTGGCTCAGTGGATAGAACATCAGCCTGCGGACTGAAGGCTCCCGGGTTTGATTCCGGTCAAGGGCACATGCCTGGGTTGTAGGCTTGATCCCCAGTAGGGGGCATGCAGGAGCCAGCCAATCAATGATTCTCATCATTGATGTTTCTATCGCTTCCTCTCCCTTTCCCTCTGAAATCTATAAAAATATATTAAATAAATAAAAAAAAAAGCCAGCACCCACTATGCTGCCCCACGCTATGGTCCTAGATTCTTTCCAAAGGACTCCGTGAGAAGGGGCTTTGAAATGCAGACTTTAACCACCTAACCAACCACCTGCTGAATCAGTTATGGGGGCCAGCATACCCAGATCTCCTAAGGTTTTTAACCCCTTTCCTGGGCAGTGATTCTGTAACAGGGAGTGGAATCCATAGAACTGCACAGGGCTGCTGCTGCATGTGTATCATCGGGTGACATGCCTCATTTCACTAATTCCCAGGCACATGCTTTCTCCCATATCTATCTCTAACCTGGGAGAGCACTCCCTGGCTTAATTTCTCTATCCTGGAGGTTCAAGTAGAGAATGAAGCTTCTTACCACCATTGAACACAGGAATTCACATAAGATGCCTAGCACAGTGCCTGGAATGTAATGGGGCAAAACCAGTTTTTCATGTAGGGAAACATGGGTTATGAACACAAACAAGGTTGACCACAAGGGAAGCGAAGCTCAGAAATGCGGCTGAGCCCCCACACTAACTGTGTGGGATTCTACCCCACCCCAATGAAGCAGACAACAGCACAAAGGTGACCGAGGGAGGGCTGATGGGGCAGAGGCCTGCGAATGCTACTTATGAGTTCACGCAAAAGTTGTCTTCCATTACCACCCATTTTCAAATCGGGGTCCCCAGCTTGTTTCAACCAGAATAGCCACATGTGGGTTCCTTCTAAGGCTGGGTTAGCAACGACATCAACCACAAAAGATACTGTGTGGCTCAAACACCTAATGGATCTAATGAAGCCCATCATTTTGGGCCCAGGCCCAGAGAGGGAAGTGTTTGGGAGTTTGGAGCCCCCTCCTCATCCAGTGGGCTCCCCACAGCACCAAGCTGCATCATAAGCAGGCAGAGCTTTGCACACAAGTGCTAATGGGTAGGTGCTCTGGGGAATGTCAAGTTGACACTGGACTGTTCTGATAGTCCCTCTTGCTGTGAGTTTAAGGTTTACTGTCACATTCCAGGAGCAATTTCTCTTGCCTCCAAGCCCTGATTTTATTTTCTAAGCCTCAGAGTAACTCATGTCAGATCAGGGAGTGGGAGCAGGGAGTGAAGGGGGCGTATACCAACTCTCCTCCTCTGTCACCACAGCTATATCTTCAGAGCACAGCTCCCAGAGCAGCACCGCTCTCCTGAAAGGGGCTCTAATTTGAGCGGGAGACCCAGCTCTTACCACACCTTCATTAAAATCTATAACTCTGTGAGATGCTGACCTAAAGTGAGGACCATATATTGAGGTGCCATCAAGCAATGAAAAGATATGAGGAAACTTAAATGCAAATAACTAAGTGAAATAGCCAATCTGAAAAGCCTATATACCAGCCGTGGGCAAACTACGGCCCGTTTGAAATGAATAAAACTAAAAAAAAAAAAAAAAAGACCGTACCCTTTTATGTAATGATGATTACTTTGAATTTATATTAGTTCACACAAACACTCCATCCATGCTTTTGTTCCGGCCCTCCGGTCCAGTTTAAGAACCCATTGTGGCCCTCGAGTCAAAAAGTTTGCCCACCCCTGCTATATACTGTATGAGTCCAACAATGTGAGATTCTGGAAAAGAGAAAACGTTGGATATAGTAAAAGGATCAGTGGTTGCCAGGGGTTAGGAGGGGAGGAGAATGAATAGGAGAATGAATGAAGAGAGGATTCTTAGGGCAATGAAACTATATAGTATAATACTGTAATGGTGGATACATCTTACATATTTTCCAAACCCACAGAATGTACCACACCAAGAGTGAATCCTAATGTCAACTATGGACTTTGGATGTTAATGATGTGTCAACGTGAGTTCATCGACTCTAACGAGCATAGGGCTCTGGTGGGGGATGTTGATGCCAGAAAGGCTGTGCATGTGTGTGTTGAGGGGTAGGAAATATGGAAAATCTCTGTACTTTCTCCTCAATTTTGAACAATTTTGTTGCCTCAATTTTGCTGTGAATGTAAGAATAAAAAAGCCACGTTGGAGGCCTCCCTGCCCCACCCAGGCCCTCAAGCACCCCACTGCTCACCTGCCCATCATGCCTGCGCTTCTTCATGAACTGAGTGATGCACATGCTTCCTGCTGACTTCCTCTTTAGCGAGATGGGTGTCCCCTGGCTGGGCCCTGGGGTGGGGATGCTGCCACTGTCCTCCCTGGTGGCTGAGGGCACCATAGTGACATAACTCCACTGGCACGGCACGGGCAGGTGCTCCTGATCAAAGCTCTTCAGCACCTGTGAGTGGACGTACCAGCACATCCTGAAATCAGGCCTCTTCTCGTACACCGAGTTCTCGGAAATAATACGCTTGAGCCTGGCCTTGGAGGGGACAGCATTGTCCTCGCTGGTGGTGGGGGTCTGCGGGCGGGAAGAGCCAGGGCTCGGAGGGCTGGCAGAGCTGCTCTCAGGACTGCTAGTGTCCTTGCCAAGCAGTCCTTGGCGGCAGCATTCCTGGAATTCCCGGATGATCACTTTGCTTCCATTCACATTCCCGTGTAGCAGCGGGAGCAACTGGGCCAAGACTGGCAGGGAGAGGAGAGGACACAAGTGGGTGTCAAACATGGGAAAATAGCAATAAATACTGCACATGGTTGCTGAACCTGTCACCAAGATTGAGGGACACAATCAGTTTCAGATGGCCTTTTAAGGATAGCTTTTAGATATATGAACTTGATCTGGAAGAGATTCTGTGAAGCCCAAATTTCACAAGGCAGATTCATTCAGATAAAACCATCGCGACTGACTTTATGCACCTGTGTTTCCTTAGCAGTGGCCATCGTACTCTCATTCTGAGTCACTGGTCCTCCCCAGCTTTGAATAGTGAGGAGGCACAGGAGTTAGGAATGATAGTGCCCTGGACCAAGCACTCTGGGTCTGTGTCCCTGTTGGTAAAATGGGCTAATTAAACTAGCTGCCTTGTACTGCTGTTGTGAACATCAGAGAAGAAACAGATGTGTCCAGTGAGTGCTAGCCTTTGTGATTTGTTGAAGTAACTTCTAAATTATTAATTCACTTGCCTAAGAAGTCGCCTGCCTTTGGCCCTGGACAGATCTGGGCCTCGGGTGCAACTGGGAGCCTTACCCCCTTCCACCCCTGCCCCAAGCCAGCACTCACTGTGCTGGTCCCTCTTCTTTTTCTTGGAGGCCTTAGGTGTCTGCTCCTCCTCGGGGAGAACTGTCTCTAGAAGGCATGCCGTGAACTGCTCTAGCACCTTCAGGTCGGCACTGCCATCCTTGTCTGCCGCCCAGATGCAGCCAATCTTCACGGGCTGGAGCACGCGGAACCGCTTTCCCTTGGCTAAAAGCTCGTCCCATTCCTTGGCCTTCAGCTTCTGGCGGACCTTGTGGTTCTCGGGGTCAGCACACTCCTTGCAGGTGAGAGAACAGGTCGAAATTACATGCCCAGTACAGCCACAGGGCTGGGCATCTCCCACACCAGATGATACCACTCTTTAAGGCAGATATGCTTATGGGTACACCAGCCTGCCTCATTGGTTGGAAATGTGTATGAGACACATGCCCTTCAAGTATGACTTTGAGACAAAATCATTTCAAAATCGATAGGCCTTTGGAGCCCTAAAAATGGCTTACTCAAAAGTTTAACCGTGTGGCAAAATTTAGAAAGTTGTTGCTGCTGTTGTTGGTGGGGTAAACTCAAAGGGAAATGGGGGAACCTTCTGGAAAAATGGAAACTTCTGTATTTTATATCCAGTGGTGGTTCCACAAATATTGTCAATCATTAAAACTCATGAAACTGAATAAATGTATGCTAATTACATTCAGCTAAACAAATATTTAAAAAAGTTTGGTGAGCTGACCCACGAACCATAGTAACTCTCTGACCGGGTTTCTTCTCATGCGCTCCCGTCACAGTGAATTTTCTCTCACCTTTGCAAATTCTCCCACCCTTCCAGACAAACTCCAGCTCAGGGTCTAGCGTTTCCACAACCAATCACACATTGGGGCTCACTTTCATGGCTATGAGAAGTGAGATACATGTGGGACCGGCCATAGATGGACTGCGACCCTTGGGCACTGTCCCCAGGCAGCTACCAAGCTCCACCCCCTGACTGGGCTCTTCTCCAAGCCAGTCACCTCCCTGTGCATACACTCACCTCAGTTACTCCCTCATCCTCAGACAGGTACCCATGAGGTACGAAAAAACCATCATCCTCATCTTCATCTTCTACTTCATCATCATCATCCTCAAAGAAAAAAAAAGTATGTTCACATGTGGAAACAGAATACATGCTTCATTAAAAATTTAAATCTCTATATGTCTAAGGAAGAAAAAAAAAAGCCACAAACTGCTGTTGTTCCTATGGACACCATGGGGATCAACCAAAACCCCATAAACGAATCCGATTATATTGCAGTGTGTGAGGATGGGGTGTGTGAGGGGGAGAACACAAACAATAAAGTCACCCAATAAGGCAAGAGGCAGTGGTGGGGGCCTGGGTGAACTAGAGAATGGATGTGCCCCATCTAGAAGGGGCAACACTGCTCAGTAACAACCCACTACTGCTAGGCGAGCGGGTTAGTGTTGCCAAATAAGGTATTCCAAGAGAAGTTGGGAATCCAGATGAATCCAGATGTAAACTGTTGGCTGACATTTTCAGACAACTCTGTAGGTAACACAGAAACTATGTAAAGGGATCCAGCCTAGGGCTGTTGCGGTCCTCTGATGGAAGCTGCAACCATTCTAGGTCTGCACTCACCCCTTCACTGTGAGAGAGAGACTCTCCTGGCTCCTCCTCTTCCCACTCATCATCACTGTCCACCTCATAGTCCAGGAGCTTCTGAGAAAACAAGACATGCAGTGCGTCATTGCCACCTCTCAGGGTTGGGAGGAAAGGGCAGAGCAGAAAATAGAATACTTACGGAATTAAAGAGACCAGTGTAAAGGCAAACCGAAAAGGAAACACAGAAAGACAGGTGTGTACCACTGGCACTTCTGCTTGCATGCTCACCCTGTCTTGGGCCCAGGGGTCCCTTGGATGGATGACCGTCGTCGTCTTATTCCATGTCCCCCAATATGCTGGTCGGTGATTCTCAGAAAACTGTAGGAGCTTCATCCTGCCAAACTTCTTCCTTTCAGGAATGCCATCTACTTTGCTGCTTTCCACTATCACCACATCACTGAGGAGTAAGACACTGCATTCACTCATATGCCTCCCAGGTGATGCGGTCACCCCATCTTCCCACGGAAGCAGGTCACCAACAGTCTACAAAGGCAGGTAACCATTAAGCAGCAGCAGCACCTACTCCTGAAGAAGGCTAAGGGAACATTTACTCCAGAGACACAAAGCAAGGAGGGAGAAACGAAAGTGCCACCATGTTGCTGCCCCAGGGCATGTCTGTGAGCAGGGCCATGGAGAGTAGTAAGTGAATCAGCAAGAACAGGGAAACACCCCTCCAGGGAGGCCAGAATGGAAATGGATCCCTCCCAGGAGAGACTGGAACACCGGGATAGGAAGTCTGCACTCCAAAAGGACACCCGAGATTTCAGAGGCTCACAGGAAGCCAGGAGAGAGATGAGACAAAGCACTGAAACTAGGGTCTGAGACCTGGAAGGGAGACGACTGGCCCAGGCCACATGGGTCAGCAGTGAACCAGAATCTAGAGCTCAGCCAACTGTGCTCTGAGTTCACCAACGAGCACAGGACGGTCTTCTCGGGCACTAACCTGTTAAAAATGTCCGCATTCCGATTAGAATCCACGGTGGGTCCAGACCTGAGGGGCCGCCGGCCTTTTAGATCTTTTAGGAAGGAGAAGTCGCCACTCTGTTGCTGCAGGAGCTGGTCTAACTGATCACAGAGGTCTTGGTCAAAGGTGGTCCGACAAAGAGGGGCGAGGACCATGTTCTCTTTAATTTCAAAAGGGGCAAACTTCCCACAGGAGCCGGCCAGCGTCTGAAATGGAAACGAGACGGGATGGCACACCTGGGTGATGGACGCCATCAGCAGAGGCATGGGTGAGCCACAGCACGTTGCATTTCAGATCCATTGAGGTGGGCAAGTCAAAGAAGAGATACTGTGTGATGACATTAACACAGGTTTCTGGAACAGGCAAAATTCCAGGGGCAGAGTAGTGGTGGCCAGGGGCTGGTGGGGGAAGGAGGAGACTGTCTATGAGGGGAGCCATCAGGAATAATGGAAACACTGCAGATCTTGATATTGCAGTGGTTGTGTGGCCTTATATAATGACCACTCATTCAACAGTACTCCTGGAAATGGCAAATTTTACTGTAAATTATACTCAATAAATCTTTTCTTAAAAACAAAACAAAACAAGATAAGACCTGAGCTCCCAGGTGAGGAAACCAAGACCTGGAGAGTGACCAGCTTACCAAGAGCCACAACCATTATGATACAAGGTGACCATCAACACAGGGCCAATTTCAACACTGAAGGCTGACACGAACCTGAAACACTGGTGTGTGTGTCCTAAGAACCACACACTGTAAATTCTGAGAAGTTTGATTTCCCTGCTCAGGCTCCTTCCGCATCTTTTTTTTTTTTTTTAAAAATATATTTTTATTGATTTCAGAGAGGAAGGGAGAGGGCTAGAGAAATAGAAACATCAATGATGAGAGAGAATCATTGATTGGTTGCCTCCTGCACAACCCACACTGGGGATCGAGCCTAAAACCTAGGCATATGTCATGACCGTGAATCGAACCGTGACCTCCTGGTTCATAGGTCAACGTTCAACCACTGAGCCATGCTGGCCGGCTCCTTTCAGCATCTTCAATGTCTGTGTCAGTGGAACCCAAAGCTGGCAGCACACGAGGGCGTGGGAAGTCAGAAGGACAGCTGACATCTAAGTTCAACATAAGATAGCCAATGTTTCACCTCAGCAAGGAAAGAACAACTGAAGCCAGTGGCCTCATCATGGCTCCACACAGGATCATCTGGGGACTGTCAGAAATCCTGATGCCCACAGCAGGCCCCTGTTCTCTGGGATGGGACCCAAGCCCAGTGTTCTTTAAAGCTTCCTGGTGATGCCAACATGCACCTGAGGACAAGAACCAGCTGACTATTCTCACTAATGAGCAGGTACTAGGAGCACTGGGCATCCATATGGGAAAACCTGCCATGCCCCACACCGCAGGCACAGAGAATTCCAGCTAGGATAAGGAACTAGACATAACAAAACAAACAAACGAACACAAAAAACAACAAAACAAAAACACCCAAGTAAAATAATTAAAACAAAACCTGGAAAAAAAAATTAGAATGCATCTACAACCATAGGGTAGCTAAAGCTTTCCAACCAAAAGCCAACTGCCATAAAATAAAAATGTTGACATTAAAACAAAAAATTACAACGAAAGACAAAAATTACAACAAGTTAAAAGGCAAGTTAACAGGTTGAATGTATCTGTGATGTATATCACCAAGGATAAAAATCCTGGCTATATAAATAACTCGTAGAGATCAACATAAAAAGCCAAACCTATAAAGAAATACAATGGCAAACAAATTAAAAAAGATGTTCAACTACACTAGCCATCATGAAAAAATATAAAGTAAAAAAAATATCAATTTTTTTACCTATCAGGTTGGTTAAGTTCAAAGAAAGGTCATGCCCTGGCCAGTGTGGCTCAATTGGTTGGGCGCCATTACATTGCCGGTTCAATTGCCGGTCAGAGCACATACCCAGGTTGCGGGTTCGATCACCTGTTGGGTACGTACAGGAGGCAGCCGATCAATGTTTCTCTCTCTGTGTCCCTTCTCCTTTCCTGTCTCTCATAGCAATAAAAAGGAAGGCACCTGAGCAGAGACAGGTGAGTGACATTCACAGCACCATGGATGGGGATCAATAGTTGAATAGATCTATATACTGTGATATCATCCACATTATGAAACATTATGTAGCAACAAAAAAGACTGAAGTAGACCCAAATGTGCCGACCTGGCAAAAATCCAAGTTACAGCTATGCAAACAATGCAGTAACATCACATATTCAGTGATCCTAATGTATGTGTATACAAATGCACAAATATACAAGGGGATCTAAATGAAGGAAGATCTGGAAGGACACTTGCATCGGGGAAGATGGGTTACTTCTGGAGCATGGAGGGAGAAGAGAAGGGGGGAGGACCTGGGGTCTGCACAAGCAGCTATTTCAGAGGGTGACTGGATGCCAGACTGGAGAAGCAGAACTCTGGGCTCTTGTCTTTTTTTAAAATATTTTATTTATTTTTTTACAGAGAGGAAGGGAGAGGGATAGAGTTAGAACCATCGATGAGAGAGAAAAATCCATCAGCTGCCTCCTGCTCATTCCCTACTGGGGATGTGCCCGCAACCAAGGTACATGCCCTTGACCGGAATCGAACCTGGGACCCTCCAGTCCGTAGGCCGACGCTCTATCCATTGAGCCAAACCGGTCAGGGCTGGGCTCTTGTCTTATGCTTAACCTTGCTTCCCATCTTGTGCATAAAGTCCAGAGGGTAAGGACTAGGTCTTCTCTTAACCTGCCCCATAGAGCGACTCACACAAAATTTTTCATGAAGCGATCCCTAAACATGCGACAGTCTTATTAGCAAATGTGCCACTTTTTGCTTTTCCAAGGACATACGAGAATCTCCAGGCCCTACCAGAAATAGAAGCTCCCTGTGCAAGCGGAGGCCCCTCTGCTCAGAAAACAGCTTTTTATTTTTCCAAAGGAAGAGCCTGACAGAGATGAAAAGCAAGGCTAAATAAAGCTGCTGCTCACCTTGGGGGTCTGTGGAGTCTTTGGTTTCTGGAAGAACCTCGTGATTTCGGCTTTCTCTGCTTTAATGCGCTGCATAATAGAAGATGAAGAAATAAAAATGGTGTTTTCAAAAACGCAAAGTCCCCTAGAACTAAACCCCAACCTTGTGGGGTTTTTTTTAAATCCTCACCAGAGGATATTTTTTCCATTGCTTTTTAGAGTGTGGAAGGGAGGGGGAGGAGGGGACGAGAGGGAGACGGAGAGGGAGAAACACTGATGTGAGAGACACATTGATTGGGTGCCTCCTACATGCCCCCCAACTGGAGCCAGATATCTAACCTGCAACTCAGTTATGTGCCCTTGACTAGGAAATGAACCCGCAACCCTTTGGTGCTCAGGCCGATGCTCTAACTGCTTAGTTATACCAGCCAGGGCAAACCCTGAACATTTTTAAGTTGAAAGCATTACTTTAATGATAGCTTTCAAAACCCATCAACCCTCAACTGGGTACCAAGCAATCTCAAAGTGTCAGAGGTGCTCTTGTAGACAGAAGGGCCTGGGTGTCCAGCCAGCAGGCATGTTATAGGCCAGCATGACCACAATCAACAGAAACATATGTACACACACATGCCAGTCCCTGTGGGGCCACTGGGCTTCTCATGACCTAGGGAACACTGGGCAGCAATAGGCAAAAACCCTGCTTATGAGGATTCCAGGATCCATTTCTCAAACAGAATAGAACATGGAGGTTCTGGGGAGGATGCCTACCTTTTCTTCCTCTCTCAGCCGTTTCTCCTCTTCCTTTTTCCTCTTCTCCTCCAGCTTAGCCCTATGGGACATGAAATTCAGTTTTAGCCAACCAGTGCCCCAAGCACACAAGCAAAGCCTGTGTTCCTGGACAAGAACCCACAGGTCGGTTAGGGTCTGCAGTGTCCCTGGAAGACAGAGGCAAGAGAGGGGAAGAGGGTACCAGGGCAGAGGCTTTTTGTATCCCTTCCTCAGGGAAGATACAGAAAGGGAGGGAAGGGGCAGCAGCCTGGCCCTTGAATGCTCAGGCCACCCTGGGAGGACACTCACTCCAGGGCCTCCTGCCGCTCCTTACGCCGCTCCTCCTTGAGCCGCTGCTTCTCTGCCTTCTCCTTTTCTTCCTTCTCCCTTTTTTCGCGCCTCTCCTTCTCCTTCAGCTCTTTCTCTTCCTCTCTCCTCCTCCTGGCTTCCTCCTTGGCACGCTTGGCCTCCTCTTTTAGCTTCTCCTTTTCCTCTTTTTCGGCCTGTAACTTCAGCTGCTTGCCCAAACGCTCCTTATCCTACAGTCAAGAGACAATTGGACAGCTGTGTCCCTGCAGACCTCCCGGGAAGGGTAAGGTCAGCATCATGGGGACAATATGTTCCAACAGAAAGGGAAAGAATGGCCCAGCTGGCGTGGCTTAGTGGTTGAGTGTCGACCTATGAACCAGGAGGTAGCGGTTCGATTCTCGGTCAGGGCACATGCCCAAGTTGTGGGCTCGATCCCCAGTGTGGGACGTGCAGGAGGCAGCCGATCAATGATTCTCATCACTGATGTTTCTTTCTTTCTTTTTTTTTAATCCTCACCTTAGGATATTTTTCTACTGATTTTTAGAGAGTGGAAGAGAGAGGGAAAGACAGAGAGGAATATTGATGTGAGAGAAACACATCGATTGGTTGCCTCCTGCACACTCCCTGACCAGGGCCTGGGCCAAGGAGAAGCCTACAACCGAGATACATGCCCTTGACCAGAATTGAACCCGGGACCCTTCAGTCCGAAGGCCGGTGCTCTATCCAGAGCCAAACCATCTCATCTAGGGCCATAATTGATGTTTCTATAACTCCCCACCTCTCTTCCGCTCTGAAATCAATGAAGAATTTTTTTAAAAAAGGGGGTGGGGGGAGGGAAGAATGAAGGACCAGCTCTAGAAGAAGCTTGATGGTTAACATCCGTACATGGAAGTGATTTTTCCATCACATTTCCTTCTGTTGTGAGAATTAGCTATTGTCACAGGACCTTGTGGGCCATTCAAAATAAGATTCATTTAAAATAGTTTCTTGTCCTAGCCAATTTGGCTCAGTAAATAAGAGCGTTGGCCTAGGGACTGAAGGGTCCTGGGTTCAATTCCCAGTGGAAGGCGTGTCAATCAATGATTTTCTCTCATCGTTGATGTTTCTATCTCTCTCTCCCATTCCCTTCCTCTCTGAAATCAATAAAAATATATTTTTAAAAAATACATACCCTCAAAAATAAAGTGTTTTATTTAAATATTTTTATTGATTTCAGAGAGGAAGAGAAAGGGAGAAATAGAAACATCAATGATGACAGAGAATCTTTGATTGGCTGCCTCTTGCATGCCCCCCAATGGGAATTAAGTCCACAACCTGGGCATGTGCCCTTGACTGGAATTGAACTTGGGACCCTTCTGTCCACAGGCTGACGCTCTATCCACTGAGCTAAAACCAGTTAGGACTAAAATACTTTCTTGCCTGGCCTGCATGGCTCAGTGGTTGAACCAGGAAGTCACAATTCGATTCCTGGCTGGAATTTTACTTAATTAAAAAAGATTAAATAAGTACCCCTGGGCTGCCTATGCAGGATGCCCGCTATTCATTTGCGCTGCTTTTATTTAATCAGAAATCTGTGGGAAAGCCCTGGCTGGGGAGCTCAGTTGGTTAGAGCAGCGGTCACCAACTGGTGGTCCGCGAGGTCCGAATGGTTGGCGACCGCTGGGTTAGAGCATCTTCCCAATGCACCAAGGTTGTGGGTTCAATGTGGGGTCAGGGCACATATAAGAATCAACCAATGAATACATAAATAAGTGGAACTACAAATTGATGTTTCTCTTTCTCACTCTCCCCCTTAAATTAATAAAATCTGTGCTAAGATAAAGACAGAAACACCTATAGATTTCACATCCCTGCCTTTAAAACAAAAGCATTTTTCTTTTCTTTTTTTTTATTAGTATGTTTTTATTGATTTTGAGAGAGAGAGGAAAGGAGAGGGAGAGATAGAAACATCGATGAGAGAGAAACATTAATAATGAGAGAAAATCATCAATTAGCTGCCTTCTGTGCACCCCACACTGGGGATCAAGCCTGCAACCCGGGCATGTGCCCTAACGGGAATCGAACCGTGACCTCCTGGTACATAGGTCAAGGTTCAACCATTGGGCTACATAGGCCAGGCACAAAAGCATTTTTCTTTCCATACCCCCAAATTCATACCAGATGACAGGGTTTATTTTATTTTCTTTAAAATGGAAGATTGGATGAGGCGAGGATAGGGAACCTAATGGGTAAAGTCTTAAAACAGTTGAGAATAGATGATAACCATAAAAAATAAAAGCAAAGAAAAAAGTATTATTTTTAATCTTTAAAACAATTTCTCAGGATCTGAAAAGAAAGGTAGATGTGAAGAAAGGACGAGTAATTTGTATTACTAAGGAGAAAGTAGCTAATGTCTTCGATACTTGTTAAAGCGGTAATGCCTTGTTTTAGCACATCAGTCCCTCATTCCAAAGAACTGGCATACGGCCCCGAGGCACTGAGTTATTAACGAATCTTGAATTCATGACCAGAAGAGCAGTTAGCTTCTAACACAGCACAGGGTAACTTTTAAGGACCATTACATTACCACCAAAGATGGTCTTCCCAAGGTGAGGAGCCTGACAGCTCCTCTGTCAGTCTGGGTGTATGATTATGCCTTGTCTCTAGAGAATATTCTACCTTCTGTCCTGATAACCCTTTGGTTGCTTTAATAAAAGCCACGGGATATCTATATGACTTTCAACAATAAAGTAACAATTAAAAAAAAAAGCCACGAAGGCAGTTAGAGATGTTTGAATGTTCAATTCTCACAGAGTATTCGCAGCACCTTCACCTGACACATAGGATACTTAAAAAGGTGCCTGGTCTGGATCTAATAATGAGTCTAGCAGCTCTACTCTGCTCTGTAAGAAGACAGAGGGCTCTGTAAGTCACAGGTCAATCAGATAAATCAGGTCTCTTTAGCCATATTTGAGTCCCATCTCCACTCCCACCCACATGTGGCCTTCTCTGGTATCCCAATGGAGAATGAGATACACTCTAAAGAAGCCATCAAAATTGGACCTACAAAAATCGAACACAGCCATAAGATGGACAGCACACAAAGCACCTGGTGAATAGACAGCCAAATGTCATTAATCAGTGCCCATTCCGTGAGCTGGCATGGGAGGGAGAAACCCAATGGCCTTCTCTGTTCTTCATGGCAATAAGAAAGAAGGCCCCTGCACCGATGTGTGTGAAATGTGGAGAGCCCCAGATAACAGAATCCATGACTCAGAAGTGGATCACTAAGTAGTAATCACCCACCAAGTGTAGGGGAAGCAATGGAACCTAAATCTATTTGTAGGAGCTGGGATGCAAGGAAAGGGACTAGGTTCTTGTGAAGACTATTTTAAGTTATAATAGGATACACAATTATTATTATCCTATCTAATAAAAGAGTAATATGCAAATTGACCATCATTCCAACACACAAGATGGCCACCCCCATGTGGACACAAGATGGCTAGCGGGGGAGGGCAGTTGGGGGGGGGGTACCAGCCCTGCAGGGGAGGGCAGTTAGGGGCGACCAG